TATTATTTAAGTTTTAAAATTAATATTTAAAAATTAATTTTAAAATATATAAAAATTTATTCATGAATACTATTCATTCAAACCAAAATAAAAAATTACTTCAGTAGTGTTTTTTTTTTTTCTTTTGTCATGACAGGGTAATAATTTGATTCATGCATAATAAAGTATAGTATAAAAAGATTGCCGGTTGTTGGAGGAACAAATTCAGCCACTTGATATGTATTATTAAGAAAGTAAAGTTTGCTATGTGTCGTGATCATGTCTGCCACTGCTACTTGCCTTTTGTAGTTGGGTCAACCAAAGTCCAACAAAATATTGTAATAACTAATTATGATTAACCAAAATTAATTATCATTTTTTCTCTGTGGAACTTATGCAGTAGCATATTTACTAGTATATTATAAATTCCATAAGCACAAGTCAAAAAGAACATTACAATAAATGAGAATGTTGCTCCTTTCAACTTTGCTGGGCTAATATTAAGTAACCTAAATTACGATGCTGAAATGTCAGTTAATATCATTAAGGACAATAATTAATATTTTTTTTAATTTAACATATTTTACAACATATTTATTAAAAAAATATTATTTTTAAATTTAAATTCAAAATAAAAAAAATTTTACTTATAAAGTTGAATAATTAAACTAATAAATATTAATAAATGTATTAAATCAAAAAGTATATTAATCATTATCTTATCGTTAAATAGCATATTAGACAATGAGAAATGCTTCTTATTGATCTAACTTCGCCTATCCTAACAGTTTTGACTTTTGAGGAAGGATACAAGCCTCACCTTATTCTATGTCTTTCTTTTCGTCTGATGACTGAGAGCATAATGTGCCGGGGACCATTATCCATCAGCATGTGTAACACATGGGGAAGATGCAGAATTTGAATAATTGAAATTAATAGAATATATTCATAAGGTAAGTTCTGTATAAACATTACTCGTTAAAAGGATTAAAACGCTGCATATTAACAGTGTTAGTGGTTTGGAAAAGAATGTGATCAAGTTTCCTTATACACTGTCTGGTTGCTAAGAAAATCCAGAAAAAGGAAAACAGCAGGGGGCTGAGAAAAGTTAGACTCAAAAAATAACTTCTTTTTTTCTTTTCCTTCTGGAAATTCTTGAGATGAACAAACATGTTTACATTAAGCCATTATACTAAGCACAACATTATACAGATTCTTCCAAATTTATCCAAGCACATATGAAACAGAAATTGAGAAAACAGAGAATTAACATTTAGTGGTCTTGATCAGCAGTAAAATCAGGGTCCGCCGGCTTCTGAGGCAGCAGTGGCAGTCGCTCCGGCATTCTGCGGGTTGGAGCCTCATCCTGTCGCAAGCTTCGCAACGCATTGGCTGCAAATTTCGACACGTAAATCGAGGCGCCAACGCTCACGCCGGAGTCATCAGCCAGAGCATTCTGCAGCCTAGCTTCCTCTTCCCGTAACAATTTAAGAAACTTCCTCCTGCAGTACCGCCGCCAGGCTGCCTGTATGAAGCTGGCCGCCCATGTCTTCCACTGCACGGAGTAGAATCTGAAAATGTGCTGGAGCTGTTTGCTGTGGAGACGACGGTACTGGGAGGCGACGAACTTGAGGTCGTCACCTAACAGAGCAAAGGCCTCCACTTCGGACAAAGCCTGTACGGTTCTGGTGGAGATGGGTAAATAAGAGGAGGACTGAGGATCCAAGGCCCAAGTAAGAAGTGCTTCTCCGCAAAAGTCACCGGCTTTGAGATTAACAGCATTGAAGAAGCCAGTTATTCGGCCGTTGGTGGTGGTGCTGACCAAATTTTCTCGTATTATAAACAGCATCTCCTCCACCGGATCCCCCTCCCTTTCAATGTAGCTTTTTTCAGTGTAAAGTACCGGTTTGAGACGATCACACATTGCATCTAACAGCTGCTCATCCATTTTCTCAAACATGGGTACCTGAATAAAGAATATTAGCGTTGATCTTATGCTGGGTATGAACTTACAGAGATGTGATGCTTTTAGAAAAATTCTTACTCTCATGAGCAAATCCAAGCAAAGATGATGCTTTATGTCTCGCCTGAGATCTCTTGGAAGGCAATTAATTAGACTCTCTTCTTCAACCCCTCTAGTTTGTTGCCATTTAAACTGTTGATACCGCCGGATTCTTTCCCTTAGGTTCTCCGGTAGCATTCTATGTTTCATCCATTGCTCTGCATCTGTTCTTTTGACTCTCATTTCTTCAACCCTTACTCCTGTTGACTGCAGATATTTCTATAAAAGCAAGAGAAACAGTCTTAGACATATTTACTAAATAAAAGACGATTGAAGATGAAAAGCATCAAGAAATACCTGCATGTTGCCAATAAGTAATGCAAACAAAACCAGTCCAGCAATGGAAATGACAACAGCAAAGATAATCTCCCAAACAAAAGTGCTTGTTTTCAGATTCTGCCCTAAAGAGCTGAGAATGAATAAGGAAAACATTAATTTTTGAGTAATTCAATAATCAATAACGAGATTGTGATATACAAACCGAAAATAACCAAAACCCAACAAAAACAAGAAAAAAAATTTTTACCGAAAACCCCAACCTCCAAAAACACATAACGGAAGGCCCCAAAAAAAAATCCAAAAATGAAAAACGGTGAAATTTTAAATTCAACAAGAACCAACAAAAAGCAAGAAAGAATGGTAATAAACAAGAAATCCCGCAAATTAACAAAAGGGTCAACGGGGGAAACAAAAACAGGAAAAGAAAAAAAAACAACGGTAAAATGAAAACCAAAGTTCCAAACAACCCCAACAAAAACAACCCAAAAACCCCCCTGGCCTTCCAACGAAAACAAGGAACAAAAGGCCCCAAAAAACCGGAAATGAAAAGGTCAATTAAAGGCAAAGAAAACCAAAACAACCCCTTGAAAAAAAAAAAAAATAAAAACACACACACTTACATGGCTGGCAAGCATGTAGAGGAATAGATTCAGAGCAGCTCCAGCCCAAGCAGTTTCAGTGAGAAAGCCTGAAGTTCGTGTAACTTCTATATAAAGGGGAACAATTCGAAGAATTCTTGGTACATATTGACAGATGACAATGTATGTCAACAATTCCTTCATTACAAATGTATCCGGCTGGCCGTTCGATGAACGGTTGACAAGCAAAATTACAAGCTGAGAGAGAACACAAAGTAACAGGAATTGTTAAGTTGCAATCTTTTCTTTGACGATACATTGAAGAACTTAATTGGAACTTGCTACAGAGAAGCAATAAACCTGTGGAAGCGGAAGAATTGACAGGACGTCAATGATGAAGTATGTGAACAAGTACCTCTTTGCAATAGCCCAAGGATCAACAATCAAGTCACCCCTACCAAAGACTCTAGAAGGAGCGGCAATGAACCCAGTTCGGAATTGAAAGATCATGTGAATTATATAGAAGACATCCATGAATGTATGAAGGACACACGCAATTTTTTCCAGATATTCATCCAGGTCGAGGCATTTTAGCTTTTTCTTATTCAGAACCACTGGGATGTAGAAGAAAAGAGGGTCCAATGCCAAAGCAATTATACAGGCTAGGAGAAATATTTTATTCCAGTTTTCAAGGAAAGATCCCTGTGGATTAAGAATTTTCTTCCAAGAACCTGAATCTTTTTCTGACTTGTTACGAGAAGACTGTAAGTTCGTAGGTTTTCTGAAGCTTTTGATCCTTTCAGAACCCATCTCAACCCCTCTCCGGACACTTTCCATGACAGAAGCCAGTGAGTTTCTAACTTTCCTCGGAAAAATTACATCAGCATAACGCTCAGTTAAAGATTTATCTGATCCAAACCTAGGTGGAAGAAAAGAATTCCAGAAAGCAAAACATTTAATTTCACAACTGATGCGATGATTAGAAGTTGCCAAATGAAAAATTTAGCCAAAAAATAAAAAATAGAAGTTTAGTATTTAAACTTCAGCGCGATTAAATAGAACTTAAAATTAATGCTTAAAGAGGCTAACCTCACAAATTTATTTTCCTGATATTCATAGCTTCAACCACTTATATATACCAATCAAGCCCTGCAAAAGTTCAATATTGATAAAAAACAGGGGTTAAAGTAAATGAAATTTCTATGAGGCAAATAATCAAACACTTGGTGTGCAATGGAAATGATGAACTGAATTGAAGATATTTATTCAACTGATCTGTGCCCATTTAAATAGAAAATGTAGAGCAACAGATTGCACAATACAAGGACTCAATGACTCCACCATCTGCAAAAAAAAAGCTAATCTTATCTCTAAAAATAAGGAACCATACTCCATTAAGTAAAGACTAAATAATAAACTTGGACTCTGTCAAATAATAAACTAATCCTGCAATTTATCTTGTAGACATGTAAACCAGAAATTGACACCTAAGCAAAGCAATTGACACCAAAGCAAAAAACCCATTTCAGTATTATATTGTAACATGCTCCCCCTTAATGCTGAAATTTAAAACTCCAAGCAAATCCCTCAAGTGGATAAACTTATCCAAAGGAAGTGGCTTTGTAAAGATGTCAGCGACTTGATCCTTTGAATTGCAGTGAACAACTTCCACGCCTCCACTCGCCACTAACTCCCTTATGAAATGGTGCCGAGTCTCAATGTGACGAGTTCGACTGTGGAATACTGGATTTTTTTTCATCGCAATGGTCGATTGATTATCACAAAATATTTTTGTTGGCTGCACTTGTAATTGCTTCATATCCTCCAGAATTCTTCTTGTCCATGTGGCTTGACAAGCTGCTGCTATTAAGGAGATATGTTCTGCTTCTGAAGATGACAAAGCTATGGAGGCTTGCTTCTTTGAACTCCAAGAGATAGCATCGGACCCCAAAAAGAAAGCATAACCTGAAGTACTACGCCGGTCATCAACACAACCTGCCCAATCACTGTTAGAGTACCCAAATAAATTAAATTGGTCATTTTTGGCATATAAAATGCCAAAAGAGATTGTCCCTTTCAAGTATCTTAGAATCCTCCTCGCTGCTCCATAATGTGTCTTGCTTGGACTCTGCATAAAACGAGATAGCACACTAGTGGCAAAAGCAATATCAGGCTTGCTGTTTGTGAGATAAAGAGGACTCCCAATAAGGCTACGATAGGCATGAGCATCAACTTTTTCTTCTCCATCATCCAGATTGAACTTTTGATTAGAAACCATTGGAGTTCCCACTGAGTTGCAATCTTCCATTATGCACTTCTTAAGGAGGTCTTTACCATATTTCTCTTGGGAAATAAAAATTCCCTCACCATTTTGAACCACTTCCAGCCCCAAAAAATATCTCATTAAACCCAAGTCAGTCATGTCAAACTCATTAACCATCATTCTTCTAAATTCTTTCAACAAAAAAGAGCTATTGCTAGTGTATATTAAATCATCAACATAAAGACACACTAACAGTACCTCATCTCCACCTCTTGTCTGAACATACAAAGTAGGCTCACTTGGACTTTTATGAAATCCATGGCTGCAAAAATGAGCAGTAATTCTTTCATACCAAGCTTGTGGTGCTTGCTTCAGACCATAAAGTGCTTTCTTCAACTTGTACACTTTCTGCTCCTGTCCTTCAATTTCATAACCCTGGGGTTGCTATACATACACATCTTCCTCCAAGAATCCATTCAAAAAGGTTGACTTCACATCAAATTGAAAAACAGACCATTTATATTGAGCAGCTAAAGCTAAAACAGTTCGAATAGTATCAAACTTGGTAACCGGTGCAAAAGTCTCATCAAAATCCACACCTTCTTGCTGCATATAACCTCTAGCAACCAACTGAGCCTTGTGTTTATGAACTGACCCATCAGAATTGTACTTGGTCTTGTATACCCACTTTAGACTTACAACTTTGTTGTCTTTAGGCAAATCCACAAGCTCCCATGTTTGATTTCTTTCCAAGGCCTCCATTTCCTCATCCATAGCTTTGCACCATTTTTTGTTCTCCATTGCTTCCTCAAAACAGCTAGGCTCCTCAACATGTGCCATTTGACACCTTTGAGTTTGTTCATAGATTTCCACCAAGGATCTTACTCTCCTTGCTTTCCTTGGAGCTGGAGGTGTCTCAGGAGAGGATGGACATGATCTGCTGCCACTGTTAGGTGTAGAGGAACTTTGACCTTCACCCATTTCACCTTCTGTCATGATTGGATCAACCTCCAAAATGCCATCAACCAACACAAAACCTGGACTTTTCTTCTCATTCCAATTCCATGAATTGTTCTCATCAAAAATCACATCACGACTGATTAGTAACTTCTTGGTAATAGGATTATAAAATCTGTAACCTTTAGTTTCATCACTATAACCAAGAAAAATGCACTTCACACTATTTTCTTCAAATTTTGTCCTTTTTTGAGATGGAACATGGACATAAGCTAGACACCCGAAAATTTTAAAGTGAGTTACCTTAGGCTTCCAGCCATGCCAAGCTTCGAAAGGAGTTTGATGATGCAAAGCTACTGTGGGACTACAATTCTGAATATAAGCTGCAGTGTGAATTGCTTCTGCCCAGAAACTGTTTAGAAGACCTTTAGCTTTCAACATGCCTTTTGCCATCTCCACAAGGCTTCTATTTTTCCTTTCAGCTACCCCATTCTGTTGAGGCATATAGCTTGCTATCAACTGCCTTTTGATGCCGAAATCTTCACAAAATTTGTTAAATTCAACTGAAACAAATTCCCCACCTTGATATATCCACAGAACTTTGATTGAACACCCACTTTGCTTTTCAACAAGAGCTTTGAATTTTTTAAAGATTAGGAAGGCATCTGACTTCTCTTTAGCAAAGTAAACCCATGTCAGTCTACTAAAATCATCAACAAAGACAATAAAATACATGCTTTTGTTGAGAGACAAAGTATTCATTGGCCCACAAACATCTGCATGTATCAACTCAGCAGGTTTCAAAGCTCTTCTCGCCTTTCCTTTGGGAAAAGCATCCCGATGATGTTTACCATAAACACAACTTTCACACACACCATCAACTTGTCCAATGATAGGCAAACCAAGCACTAAATTCTGTTTTGACAAATGTACCAACCCCTGCAAATTCAAATGCCCGTATCTATGATGCCACAACCAATTTTCATCATGCAAAGTGACATTCAATGCAGACTCACAGTCAAGAGTTAAAGGAAAACACTTGTTTTTTGCCATTGGAACTTTAATTAAAAGCTCCTTTTTAGTTGCATCTTTGTAAACATAGCAAGCCATATTTTCAAAAACAAGTGAATATCCATCCATCATAAATTGACCCACACTTAGCAAATTAGAATCCAAATGAGGTACAAACAGGACATCATCTATACAATTCTTGCCATGTTCATCCAATTTAACCGTACCTTTTCCTTGTGCTTCTCGTACGGTACCATCACCCATGGTTATTTTGTTGCTCACTGACTTGTCCAGATTAATGAAGAGATTAATGTTTCCTGTCATGTGATTGCTGCAGCCACTGTCCACATACCAAACATCTGGAACACTTTCTTTAGCAGTGTAGCAAGCAAGAAATAAGCTTTCAGTTTCATCATCCTTTTCTTGTGCAAAATTGGCTTGCTTATCTTTAATTCTACAATCTTTAGCAATATGGCCATACCTCTTACAAACAAAGCACTGAATTGAACTCTGGTAGTCACTTCTTTCATTGGCTCTCTGTTGATGCCTAATGCTGCCAAATCGACCTCCACGACCTCTTCTTCCACCTCGGATAACACCTTGTCCTCTATTGAATCCACCTCTGTTACTAAACTCTGAAGAGCTCCCTCCATATTTGTTTTTGGGCAGCTGAAGCTTGCTGTAGAAAGCATTCTCCACAGGATCCTCGTACCTCTTCATCCTATCTTCATGAGAAAAAAGAGAACCGAGTAGCTCATCTGTTGTTAACACAGTTTGACTCTTCTATGGCAGCCACAATATGGTCATATTTCTTAGCCAAGCTCCTAAGAATTTTTTCAACCACCTTTTGCTCGAGCACATCATCACCATATTTTCTCATTTGATTGACAGTTTCTGTCATTTGGGTAAAGAAATCAAATAAGTTCTCACCTTCTTTCATGACCATACCTTCATACCTTCTACGAACTGTTTGTAACTTCACCGTAAGCACCTTGGCATTGCCTTGGTATCCTCTCTGCAAGGCGTCCCATGCATCTTTTGACTTTGTTGCTGCTGAGATGCGTGGAAAGATAGCATCATCCACTCCCTGCTGGATGAAAAACAACGCCTTGGCATCCTTCTTCTTTGTGTCCTTGAGTGCCTCTGCTGAGAGTGCAGCTTCTGTGTAACCCCTCTCTACCAAGTCCCATAAGTCTTGGGACATAAACAAAGTCCTCATTTTAGTACTCCAAATTTCATATCCACTTCCCTTAAAGAGTGGAATGGTTGGCTGCGAAACACTCCCTAAATTGTTGTTTGTGGCCATTTCTTTTGAAGGCAATTGAAGGACAAAAGGCAATTGAAAGAGGAACCAGGCTCTAATACCAGATGATAAAAAACAGGGGTTAAAGTAAATGAAATTTCTATAAGGCAAATAATCAAACACTTGGTGTGCAATGGAAATGATGAACTGAATTGAAGATATTTATTCAACTGATTTGTGCCCATTTAAATAGAAAATGTAGAGCAACAGATTGCACAATACAAGGACTCAATGACTCCACGATCTACAGAAAAGAAGCTAATCTTATCTCTAAAAATAAGGAACCATACTCCACTAAGTAAAGACTAAATAACAAACTTGGACTCTGTCAAATAATAAACTAATCCTGCAATTTATCTTGTAGACACGTAAACCAGAAATTGACACCTAAGCAAAGCAATTGACACCAAAGCAAAAAACCCATTTCAGCATTATATTGTAACAAATATTCCATAATCTGTTTAGTTTATTCGGTAATTCTATATTTACAATATTAGATAGAATTGTAAACCAACAATGATGATATGTGAATTGAGTGAAAAGAATCAATAAATATATTATATTGTAAATTTATAATATTATATGATATTTTAAGTGTATCATTTTAGTAATTAAATAGGAATTTGGGAATTTTTTTTTTTTATCTTAATTTTGAAAACTTATACTAGAAATGATGATATGAAGATCATCCATTGAAGTTAAACGTTTGACCGTAACTTCATAATTTCATAATATAACCTAAAAGAAAAGTAACTTAGAGGGTGTTGGGGTTGTTTGAGGTGTTGTAGTTATAATTATAATTGTGGTTATATTAAATTGTATTGCATTATAGTTGTTACTAAAAATTATGAGTATTTATTTTTTAAAAGTATTATAAACAATATAGAGTAAAATTTATTAATTATTAATTAAAATTTAAAAAGTTTTATATGATATATAATTATTAAAATAAACAATATTTACTATTTTGTAATAATTTAAGTTTTTTAAGTTTTATACATGGGGTGTTCTTTTGGGTTTTGCAAGGAACAACTTATAAGGAGGTAATAAGTTTTTAAATTTTTTATGAAATTTTTAAATAAAGGAGATGTTAAATTGAAATAAAGTATTATAAATAAATTGTGGTGTAATTGAATTTAATATGTTTGGGTTTTAATGGATTATTTTGTAATTGTATAAGGGTTTGTTTAGTGTAGCGGTTTGTAGTTTTATTCATTCTGCTAGAAATAAGTGTTTAGTAAATTTGTATATTTTAAAATCGTTACAAATAAAATATTTGACAAAAATTTTTATTTAGTGGATGGTTAGTAGAGTTCAAATTGCTAACAAATTGAAAAAACTAATTTAGATAACTTTTTGTAACAAAGTGAATTGAAAATTTTTAATTTTATTGACAAATTTATTAGTTTTAATTTTAATTTTTGCTCATGATTTTTAATTAGTACTTATCTAATTAGTTTTAACTTTATTTTTTAGCATCTATAATATTAAGTGATTATTATATTTTTATATTTTACATTAATTTATCATAAAAAATATATTAGCTTACTAAGTAAATTTTGCTAATTAGGTGAAATAATTAAATTTTTTTCTTTAT